TAGTAGGCATCCTTCAGTCTCGAAAGACTATGGTATCGTGCTCTGTATGGAGGACTTGGAACAGCGTCTAGTGTGGCTGAGGAGGCCAATTCGAGAGTGACAATCCCTTCCACACTGGAGACAAATCCAATCTGTCCCCTGTCCAGCTCCCTGGTTTTGCTTCCTTTGTGACTTCCTCTTTGCCTCAGCCTGCTGGACAAGGGTCTCTTCAAATTGGGAGAGGCCGTGATGTACTGCCTGCCTCCAGGCTGAACGATCAGATGTCAGAGTTTCCCATCTGTTGAGGTCTATCTGCATGGTTATACTGGTCAGGTGCAAATCTGCTAGCCTGCCAATAACCAGAGGTCCATGATGAAGGAATAGCTAAGCGGGTCGGCAGCTTCAGAGTGTAGTTTCCACATACATCACTTTGACTAACACTCCATTTTGAGAAAGTATCCAACATCTTGTAACCTCATTTTAAAGCTTTTAAATTTTAAGGAGTCTAATACGTACTCTCAGAAACACATTCTCTTACGTTCAGGCATCCCCATCTGTGCATATCCACATATAACCTATCTGGCTCTTGTTTTACTATGTAAACTACTTTACACTTCATCTGCACACTCAACAGCACTCAAAAATATGTTGCTGTTAAGTACATGCAGGGTATCCAGTTCCCATGTGAGTCTGTGCGAAATGGGAATTCAAGGTTCAACCTCCTTTCATAGAAGCCAGTGATTGTCTGGGGACAAAGCGTCCCTCTTTTCTAATTAGGGGGAAATGAGATCAAGGGATTTGCCCAGGGCTGTACAGTCAGCCTGTGGAAGAGGTGTTACCCATAGGATTAATAGCAATGATTTCTCAGCATGTTAAGGGATGGCTGTTCTAGCATTCCACTCTGGCAGATGTTTATGTTTTCTTGGCCTTGGTGGCGCCCTGGATATATGTGCCATCTTTCAGGAGCAATGGGGCTGTTTATTTGAGGCAATTAAATTTAAATAAACCCATAATATATCATTTGCTGAGTGTGCGTACCCACAGCTAAAGTGCCCTGGCTCAAGGGCTTTGCTATCAGGTGATTCAGGAATGCCTGCAGTTGCACAGTGTCAGGAAAAGGGAAAACCAAGGGAAAGGGGGTCTGGTCTGCTATTAGGAATGGGTGAAGGGGGATTTTGCATCCTCTCAAAGGCGTGGGGACTTTGGACCATGGAGGAAGGATGTAGACAGGCAGAAGATAGGCGGGTGTGCTCAGGGAAACACAGGGGATATCTGGTGAAGTTTCATGCCCATTAAAAGGAGCAGAGCTTGGAAAGGTGACTATTTTGCGCTACACCTTGCAGTTTCTCCCAGTCCCCATGATCCATGACCATACTTAGTGGGGGATTCTGGGTGTTTTAGTCCAAAGGTGTAACTTCTCCAGGGAAGGGGAAAGAGGCACTAACTTTAAGGGCAATAAAATGTAGACTTGGCTGAATGAATGGCAAATGGCAAGCAAAGGATGTGGTGAGGCCTCTGTAGAAATAACTCTCTGCTCATATTCAGGTACCTAAACAAGGTAACTCAGCTACATTGAGTGCTACTTCATGGAAGTCATCATAGGCAGCTGTTTCTGGGAGTGCCCATCATTTGCCAAGGTGCTCTAACTTTCTAGCCACAACTCTTCTTTCTGCAGAAATATTCAGCCCTTGCATTTATTTCTGAAAGAGATCTGGATGCAAAATTTACCAGGCAGCTCCCCAAGAACAGAGGAATCCAAAAAATAAAATAAGACAAATACAAGATTTAAAAATATGCCCTGAGACCTCCAGCCATGCAAACTGACTGAGGAAACCCAGTGCTGTCAGCCACCAGCACTGCCAGGGTTAACAGTTTTTCAACACAGGGGGGATTCTTTGTATGAATACTTGCTCCTGCACCCAAGTGGCCAATGGCCTCACCAGCGGGGGGGGGGGGTTTCAAGGCCCTGGCGGGGCCGGGGCAAAAAATATAATAGTGCCCCCCTCCCTCTGCCTTTCCGCCCACCTAAGTTGGTCACACAACCTGAATAATGTTATATAACAGAAATAAGACTCACTCACCAAGGTGATCTTGGTAGCAGTGAGTAAGTGAACAATGCTGAGGTAAATAAACAAACAACAGAAGAATGAAAAGGAAGTCTAGCTTATGAGGGAGACATGAGGCAAGGAAAGGCTAAAGCTGAGCTTCGAGGCACTCTGCATGTGCCCAGAGAAGAGGAAAAGTTGTGCAGAACATGGGGAGGCTGCAATCCAGAGCAGGCCCCACATGGAAAGGAGGGAGGGAGGCTGCCTGTCGTGTGGGGTTGCAGGACGCTGGGCTCAGGCGCAGGACGAGGTGGGGGGGACTGCGGGCACTTTGAAGGAACAGCCGCCACCACCCAGCTGAGGGTTCTGGCAGGAAGAGTGTCTCTGAGGCTAAGTAGAGTATCCTCCATACCCCGGCTGCCCTTACTCAATCCCTTTCCTCACTCAACCTCTGTCTGGAGATATGAGTTTTGCTGGGTAGCTGGGGGCATGCGTGCTAAGATGGTCGTGTGGACTCCTTGGGCAGCAGTGCCTAGCAGCACCTCCCACAGGTGTGCTTTCCACTCAGCACAGGAAGATGAGCTGCTCCGATGGTGTCCACACCAGCTGCAGCCTGGCCTCCAGAAGAGTGTAGAGGAGATGGAGGAAGGGGGCACGCTTGCAGAAGGGCCCTGTGTGTGGCTCTTCCCCAGGTCTGGTGGCGGCCATGGCAGGCCATCGGGGCAAGTGTGGTGTGAGAAGGAGCTGAACACCGTCTGCCCCCCCTCCCATTCACCCCCATGGCTTGCTGTCCATGAGCATCACCTCCATGCATTGCACCACTGCCCCACCCCCGGCCGGCCTCACCCTCGCTCTGGCCCCTCCATCCTCCTCTTCCTGTGGCCCCCTACAGACATTGGGCCCTGGGCACATGCCCGCTTTGCCCTCTGAATGATGGGGCCCTGGACCCACCCGCCACCTGCATTTTAACACTAGCTATATCTTTCTCTGTATGTATGATGCCAATTTCCATACTTAATAAAACTCTAAAATTATGCATTGTTAAGTGTCAATTATTCGTTCCAGAGTTTTGATTACATTCAACCCGTTTTTCTGCTACAAACATTTTAATATAAATGTGGGTGGGGAGGGAAGGAAAGCTTATTTATCCAATTTACAGCCTTCACTTTTGAGTTTTATTTTAATTACGTATTTGATCCCATTCGAGAGATAAACATGCACAACACTGCAGTCTTTAAATATAGTCTTGAAATATAGTCACTCCCATTGGAGGTAATTGGCTTGCTTCTGAGTAAGCAGAAAACTGCACTTTACAGAAATAAAATACTTTTCTTCATATCACTGTTTTCTGAATTGATGTGAAAAGCAAAAGCACCAGCACTGTTCATTTTTTAAAGTTAACACCATCTAATGGAGTGATTCACACTAAACACAACGTTTTATATACAGTATCTAAGAAACAAAATACAACCCAGTCCAAGAAATGCTATGCCTTTTTGTTTTTTACCTAGGGGAAGCAAGTCAGAATTACTCAAGTGCGGACCCCGATTTTACTCGTTTGCTGAGGAAACATGACAAATATTCTGGTAGGACAACTTCAGGAAGCGTTTACTACTCGAGAGTAATCCCCTCTTCAAGTCAGCGGGAGTTGCGTCGGAATAAATACGCATCAGAGAAAGCTGAAGCAGCACAAGGGGCACCACAGGGCTCAAAGTCTTCCAGGGACTTCCAGTACTCAAAGTGTAATCCTGGCCCTCTCTAGGACTGCATTCCCCAGCATGCCGCGCGAAAGGAGGTGTGGCCGATGGGTTTAAAAACCCACATGTTGCGGCTTCTGCCTCCAAAGCTCGGTTGGCAATTGAGAGGAGCGGCGAGAACAGGTGGAATGGCTGGACAGCTGCGCTACCCGTGCAAGACATCACCTGGAGTGGCGGAGGGGCTGCGCTACGCGGGCAAGGTCGTCTGCGTGACGGGCGGCACCAGAGGCATTGGCGAAGCGATCCTGAGATTGTTCGGTGAGGGCGAGGACGATTTGGGGGGGGATTGGTCAGAGCTGCTGCCAAGCAGGTGCCCGGGCTCCATCGAACTCTTAAAAGACTTCCCCAGTCCCGATATATTGTGGTGAAGAGAGAATGATGAAGTTGGAGGTGGGGACGGGAAGGCGAGAGGAGTTCTGGACGTGTTCAGAGGGAATTCCTCACCGTCGTGGAAGTTTTCCTCCCCAGTCCAGAAGTAGTTTGTGGTGGGCAGATCTGGACGGAGTTAAAGGATGAGGAGATGTGTTCTGTAGGTGCTCCGAGGCTCTCTTACTGGAGAGTGTGGTGCTTGTTCTTGAGGGAATATGTGCTCTTCCAGATGTTGCCAGACTACACACCCCATCATTCCCTCTCAATATAGAAATTGCTGGCCAAGACCTGAGGCACCTGGTTGAGGGAGGCAGGTGTAAAACCTGTCTGGGTGAGAGGGACTGATTGTCTTATTTGCTGTAATGCCAGTATGTGATCTGAACGTCTGGCCTCTGTCTTGCATTCACCTTCTCCTTCCAACGTCAACTTCCTTTCCCAGTTCACCATGGAGCCAAAGTGGTCTTCTGTGCACCCGAATGTGAACGTAAGTCTGAAATATTTTCTCCCCTTTCCCCTGCCTTCTCGTTTTGTTTTTATTCCAAATAAGGCTGCCTGGGCCGAAGATAATTTGAGACTTTGAAATCCAGGAGGCAAGGAAACCCTGAAGAACAGTGCGCAGGATACGTGTAGGTCTAGAAAGGTAAACGTGTCACCTAAAATCTTAGGAACTACAGTCTCTGCCATCCAGGACTATTGGTTGTGATGGTGGGAACTGGTCATCTCGTTTACTGGTTTATCTTTCCTAGTGTAGACAGAGGAAAGCAGGAATAAGTGAGTAATTTTAGTTCTAAAAGTGGCATTCAACTGACAGGCTCAGCTTAGGAAAAAGGTGCCGTGATGAAAAAACCTCACCTGCTGAATTTCTGTCTTCTGTACACCTCTGAAATGACCAGAGAAATACTTTGCCAACATGCAGTAGTAGCTGGGTTTCCACATTGCCCATTGATTTCAAAAGGAGTTCTTGTGCTCTAATTTAAGTGGCATTGGCTTCTGATTCCCAGCATTCACCTTTAGATTACTTTGCATGTAAATCTTTTCTTTTCCATTTGCTCCCATCTTTTATCAGTTCAGAGTCCTGACCCTAGATGGAACTGTTTAGCTGTGGATTTCAGTGGATTTACCTGGCTAGGAACGTTCCCCCCCAGATGAGAGTAACTGGAGGGGAAATGATGTAAAGTTGAATGGAACTGAATCAATCAATTAATTTTTATGCAACGAATAGCTTTTTGAACTCTCTCCCCAACCCAATATAGTTTGGATCAGTCCTTGAGTCTACCATGGGTTGTGTGTTCAGATGGGAATTTTGAGAACTGTCACTCTCATCTTTATGTTTCCATCACCATTTGCAGATACACTAGCTGATTTAACCATGTGACCGCCAGATGCTTTATACAACCATCCCATCACCCCAACCCTAGGGGTGCTGATGGGAATTGTAGTATGGCTGATTTTTATCTGTAATGAAATCTGTATGTTGCCGTCTTGATATGAGGAGTTTACCTGGTTCAACAGAGTGGAAGCCATCTGGCCATCAGATGTGAAGGGAAGTTGAGGTAGACCCATAAAGGGAAAGGAGAAGGAGAGAAAACATCTCTCCCCCTCCCAACTAACACCCATCTCTGCCATTTCTGGAACTCTGCATTAACTCTGTTTGCAACTGCTCTGTTGTATGCCTTTGTAGGGGAAAGGGGGGAAGCCCTTCAGAGGGAACTGGAAGAGTCTGGGTGCCCTGGAGAAGCTCGTTTTGTGGTCTGCGATGTTGCCATTGAAGATGATATTAAGGTAGGCTGGAAATGTGGGAAGAGCAGGTCGGGGTGGGGGAGACTTCTTTAGATCAGCTTTTTGCTTGGTGACCCCATTCTTAAAATCCACCGTTGTTCCCTGGGGATTGCAGTGGTATAAAAGATCCCACATCTGGAATGGCCTGGTTCTCCTAGTTGTCCAGGTCCTTCCAGATGTGCTGAGCTACAACCCCTGTCACCTCTGTCCATGGCACATATCTGTCCTTCCTGGGGATAATGGGAATTGTATTACAACACTTTTAGAACCTGTTGGCTTACAGTAGAGGGAAGCTGTTTCCTTTTGCCACGCTAAATTTACAGGAATCGTTGTTCTTCTATTGCATCCTCTCACCCTGCCTGAAATCTCTCTTTATATATTTTCTCTCTCTCTCGCTCACAGAATCTGGTTTCTGTGACCATAAACCTGTATGGATGCCTCGATTGCCTTGTAAACAATGCTGCAATTCGTGAGTCATTTAAAAAACAATTTGGATCTGGGGAGATTCTGGGTGCCTGTTTCTGGGTTGTGGGATGTGGGAGGCTCCTTGAAGGGCAGACCTAGGAACCCTGGAAGAAATAAAGTGTCGAGATCAGAGGTTAGTAATTAATATTTTGGGGACTAAAATTTCCAGAACTCCTGACCAGCATTATGGGCAAGTTATACTGGCAGAAAAGACTCACAGAGCTGATTGCTTTCTGTATTCACTTTACATATGTTGATCTGTTGTGTGTATGTGTTGTCTCGTGAGTTTAATGGAAAAGGTTTAAGAAGGGAATGAAGAAAAAAGCAAGATTTATTAACAGGTATGTAAGAATCTCATCTACTTTTCATCTAACTTCCATGGAAAAACAATCTTGCTTTTGTATTTCCACTTGTCAATAGTTCCCGGCTTCCAGAATACAGACGATGTGACTGGGGAAGGCTTCCGTACGGTTTTGAACATCAATGCTGTTGGCTATTTCTTGGCAGCAAAGGTCAGTAATCCCAGTCTTCATTATGGACATCTTCAAATAGCAGAGCTGGAAGAGACACTATGTATGGATCATTGAATCTAGCCCTTGTCAGATATCAGAAGCTGCTTTATAGACTGTCAGAATGTAGATCCATGTAGCTGATTGTCTTCTACAACAGCCTTCCTCAAGCTGGCGCCCTCTACAGATATCTGTTGAGTTTTTGTCCAACATAGCTGGAGGGTATCAGGCTGGGGCTAGTAGAATTAGGTTGAGCAGTCCTGATTTCACGAATGGGCAAACTAGGCATTGAGCTGAGGGGTGAGTGCGTGCTGAACTTAGATTAAGGTTGTGTTTTTAGATTGCATTGCTTGTAGTGAATGAGAAAGGCAAAAAGAAAGTGTGTGTAACATGTTCCTCAAGGTTGTTCAGGCTGATTAGGCCCTAAGTACAGAAATGCTCTGTATAGAAATGTCTTGGGCCCAGTGCTCTTCAGCGTTTTTACTGGAGGAGGTGCACAGAATGCGTATCAGATTTACAAGAGAACTGAAATTGGGTGCAAGAGCTGATACCCGGGAAGAGAGAAACAAAATTCTGGAAGTCCTTGAGAGGCTCTAGGACCGAGTTGACAACAATAGAGTGAAATTTAACAGGATTAAGTGCAATGTTCAACTCCTAGGAAGAAGAAACCTAACATACAGTTTTAAAACGGGAGATATTTGGTTCGGCAATACTACGGGCAAGAAGGATGCTAGAATAGTTACAGAGCTGACTGTGATCCAAGAATGTGATATAGTTGCAGAAAAGGCAAATGTTGCATTAGTGTAGTTTTTAGGTAATACCTTTAATTTTATGGGGTTATTTGCTTCTTTAGAAATCTATTGAGGAAAGTTGTAAACACAATTTCACAGTTTTTTCTCATTCACACTTACATAACAAACAAGATAAGCAATTTCTAACGAGATTAAAGAGCTACAATTCTCCCCCACCCCTGACCTTGGCAATAGCACAAATATAAAAGTTGCTTGTAAAAGTCAAGTGTCCCTTTGAATTCAAATTTAGAGAAGAAGTCCAAGAGATCTTCCTCAAATGAGTTGGGTGTCCAATATCTAAAAGAATTTGTTCCACATATGAAGTCTTCAAAAGTCAAAACCGAGTTGGCAAGGCCTCAGCAGCCCAAATGGCAACCGCAACTCCAGCCTCTTTATCTCACCCGCTCTTTTTGATTCAAAAAGAGCCCTGTTTTTTCTTAGTCTTACGAGTTTTTCGTTGCGTGAGGCATTCGTCTTGCGAGGTATCACTGTATTTGGAACTTTGTCCTGCCAGGTGATGCCAAAAATGCATTGGAGACAATGCATATGGAACGTGTTCAACTTCCTCTCCTGCCGTGCACAAAGGGTCCAGGACTCATCACAGTACAGGAGTGTGCTCAGGACACAGGCTCTATAGACCTGGATCTTGGTACAGTGGTGCCTCGCTTGACGATGTTAATTCGTTCCAGCAAAATTGCTGTAGCGCGAAAACATTGTCAAACGAAACAAAAAAAGCCCACTGAAATGCATTGAAAACCCATTCAATGTGTTCCAATGGGCTGAATACCTGCTCATCCAGCGAAGATCCTCCATTTCCTGTATAGCGAGGAATCCGTCCTAGAAAACAGCGGGGGGCCATTTTGAAAGCCAGCAGCCATTTTAAAACCCGACGATCAGCTGTTTGCTGATCACCATAAAGCAAAAAATCGGTTCCCGAAACAGGGAACCAACCGATCAACGTGAAGCGAAATTCCCCCATTTAAAACACCATTTTGCAATTGCAAAAACGTGGACATAATGCAGATTCGTTGTAGAGTGGGGTAATCGTCCAGCGGGGCATGACTGTATATGCCGTCGGCTTCTTATTAAGCCATACTCTTCTTGTGAGTCTAGAGAACATGGTAGCTGCTTTGCCAATGCATTTATCCAGCTCGACATCTAAAGAGAGAGTGTGTCGGGGATTGTTGTTTTGGGTTTTTCGGGCTCTTTGGCCGTGTTCTGAAGGTTGTTCTTGTCACGAATTTGGCGACAGTAGAAATATGCAGTGTTATTGAAGACACAAGTTCTTCTTTGTTGCAAGACGGTTGTATTTACAAGTATTTATAGATATTTACAGGCAGGCATCTCAACAGCATGGCAGGAACTCTTTATACAAACGGACAGCATGCATGTCAGCAAGTGGTGGAAGAGAAAGACACAAAGACACAGTCCACTTATATACATGTACATGGCATATTTTGTCCAATCAGAAGACAGATGACTTCATCCTTTGCACCTGGTCTTCTTCTGGTTTCAAGACATTGCATCATCTCCAGAGTGATTCAGCATTCTCACATCTGTGCACAATGGCAGCTCGTTAATGATACA